GTCCCTTCCCCTGTAAGGTTTTCTGCTCCAAGACAAGGAAGGTGAAAAGAAAAGGTCACACTTGAAGTACCCTCCAACATCCATGTCCAAAAAGTGAGGATGCAGGACGAATGGAACTGCTTCTTCCCCTCCAGCAAGGGCGAGGGAGCACAAATCTGACTTCTACCAGCATGGGGTGCCAGGACTCATTTGCAGGCTCCTACTCAGATCAGGATGAGCCCATCCTCACAGGCAGCATGTTTCATCCATGCTCCACTCCTGGAAGTGTTCAAGGCCAGGCTGGATGGGGCCCTAATCAACCTGAGATAGCAGAATGTGACTCAGCCCATGCCAGGAGTTTGGAATGAGATGATCTTCAAGGTCCCTTCTACGCCAAACCATTCTATGGTTTGACATCAGTCTTGCTGTGAACAATAGAGTAACAACCCTTTATGCCCAGAGTGCTCTGAGCTTCCAGAGAGCCTTTCGTGCTCCCCAAAAGCTGCTGAGGATTTGCCACCTTTGTAAAGCACCAAACATCTCCAATGGTTGAAGCTATGTCATCTACTTCCTCACCTTCAAATATTATGGAATCCAGACAGATGGTAAGCAGGGGGGGAAAAGGGCAACAAAAAAAAAAGGAGAAAATGAGTGATTCTAAAATATGCAGAGGAATCCAAGGGAGTCTTGGTTACATTAAGTGGAAGTTGAACAGCAAGGATCTCTTAGGTGACTGTACATATCTCAGACACAGCCTTTGTGAGGTTTTTCATTTTTTTCCTTTTATGAGGAGTGAACAAATCAGTTATCTCGGTGTCAATCACCAAGCTAAGAATTCACAGATCGTCAGTACTCTGAGCCGCTCCTTAAATCTCGAGACCTTCCCTTTACACCCTGTTTAAAAACAAACTCCAGGCAGCACAGCACACCCAGGCAGAGCCATAATCCAGGATGGCATTTTTATCTAGGAAGTTATTTTTTATTGGCCTTCTATTCCTTAATAGGGACCCCTCGAGGGGGTTGGGTTGTAGAGAATTCACCAGGATACCAGTTCAGCTTCCCTACGACTGACTTAATATCCGTGGCATCTGCCCTCCACTGAACATTATATCACCCATCTGGGCCAGAGGAGGAGGGGGAGTCTGGGCAGGGAAACACGGCTCAGACAGCATTCCTTGCATGATGATTAGGTCTGGTCCAGTGATCCGGAATAATAATCTGAAGGCTCACTAAGCATAATGGGTTCAGAGCCACCCGAGCCTGGTCAGACCTTCCCATGAGCATCCTTTACATGTGTTGTGGGTGTGTTTTGCATGTCTCATCAGTGTCAGGGTACTGACATCTCATTATGCAGCCAAGGTGGAAGTGGACAGGTACTGAGTGAGCATTAGAACTTCTCTTTTCCCTTTTATTATTTAATTCACATCTTCCCATTATCCAGTGTATCGTGAAGCTGTGAGCTAATTAAGTCCTGTGGGATTATACAATCAGTGCTGGATTTTTTTTTTTCCCTCCCCTCTCTTTTCAGAAGGCTAAATTGCATTATATACCAATAGAAAAAATAATTGTGCAACTTTTCTCAGATAATAACAGAGAAAGTTACAAACACTAATGATGCTGAATGCAACAGTGGGGCAGAGGCCTGCTGCTTACTTCAAGTGACCTAATTAAGTCATACAGGACAAAAATGCTTCAAACAATAAGTGAGACAAGAGCTCAAATCATTTGCTAAAGAAAATCATTACAGCTACTCTCTGGGGGATAGTGGGGCACAGACCAGAGCCTAAGAAAAATCCAAGCTGAACTCAAATTTCATTAAGTCTGCCATGAAACTCATAGATCTCCAGATGGCAACTTGAAACTCCCCAAAATTTTGAGAGTTCTCTAAATCCTGAACTGAGCCAGCTCAGACTGTAGCAATGGACCTGATGTTCTTGGAGGTCTTTTCCAACTTCAGTGATTCTTTGATTCATGCAAGCAACAGCTCAGAGACCAGATTTTGTGGCACCTGCCAGAAAATGCAGCTGTTTTCCTGAGGATTCTGCCCAAAAGTTTTTGAAGACATTCAACCTATACAGCAAATTCAAGTATGTGACTCAAGGGAGCAACATGAAGAGGACAGCCATCATTTTCAAAAAATAACCTTCTGATTTCTGATGATAACCACAAGCCAAATTTCCAAGCAAAGTTATGCTGAAATCAGAGGCGAAAGATCTCTCTTCCCTGCAGAATTAGCCAAATCTCATGCAGAGCATCCAAAAATAAAGGTATCCGGTGCTAAGGTCTTAATTTTCATTAAAATAGAACTTTATATGCATTTATTAGGGGAAAAGGGAATTAAGGAAATGGACAAAAATGCACCTATGAAGAGTTTGTATCCAGGTACAACAACCCTCTAGTAACTGGAGCTTCTGCCTATCTAAGACAATAAAAGTTCAAAGTACAAACAACTTTAATGCTTAACATGAGCTATTGGTAACAGGGCTGCTGAAAGCATCACAGAAACACAGACCTGGAAGAGGCCACCATCTTACCCATCCTCTTTCATACACACACCACGCTCCTTCCCAGCACCCCTGGGGAGCCTGTTCAGTGCCCAACCATCCTTTTTCTCATATCCAACCTAAACTTCCCCTGACACAACTCCAGGCCACTCCCTTGGGTCCTGTCACTGGTCCCCACAGAGCAGAGCTCAGGGCCTGCCCCTCCTCTTCCCCTCACGAGGAAGTTGTAACTGCAGTGAGGTCTCTCCTCAGTCTCCTGTTCTCCAGCTGAACAGACCAAGTGCCCCCATCCAACCATCCCTGCCCAAAACCTCCCACTAAGCCCACCTGGGCTGTGTTCTCAGCCTGGCTGTCATCCCTCAGGTGGCCGAAGAAGCAGCAGAAAACAAAACACTGAGCAGTGCAGCTGTGCTGGGAACAGCCATGGATCATGCCCATTTTTTACGGAGTGCTTTGAGATCCTTGCATGAGTGTGCAATAGGAGTGCCAGATGTTATTATAAAGAGATGCAGCCCCATTACTTGTACACAGAGTTGTGCTGCCTGCTAATAGCACCATTATCCTAAGGCACGTGGTGCTATTAATGCATTTCACTGCTTAGTGCTGAACCTGGGGACCATTTTTTCCACTGGAAAGGTAAGGCCAGTTCCCATGACATGATTTAAACCTCCACAGTGAAGCAGGCACACGTTGCACCAGGTCGTAAATCTTAACGGGATGCTGTCAGCTAGAAAGGGACCAAAATTGAAACCATTTATCTGAACTCCCCACCCATCCACCTCTGCTCACCCAAGCCAGTTTTGGGAAGAGGGATAAAATGATTCCAAGTGCCCGCTGGGTTCATTAAGCAGCAGCAAATCTCAGATGTAAAGTGCTGCTGTTTTCATCCTGCTCTGAATGAATTTGTTCATTCAGGACACTTAAGACTTCCTTGATTTTCCCTACTCTGAGCAGAAAAACCATAGCAGGGACAAATCTCACTACTTCTTCCTATTCTTGCTCTCTCCTGAGCCAAAAGACAACCTGTGATCATCTACAGGACCTGTGACACAGCTGAGCTGCTCAGACCACAGCCAGCAGCAGGTAATGCCCCTGTAATGCTCCAAACCAGGCTTTGGGGCTGTAGAGATGCTCTTATCCCATTTGGGAAGGAAAATATGAATATAAGGATTCATATGAGGAGGTGTCTGTTCCCTTTGCCGGCCTCCTGCAATAACCAACCAGCAATTTTTCTGGGGTTGGTTTTCTCCTTAGCTGGGTGTGTTTCTGACACGATAATTAACAAGGCTGATGAGCAAACAAACACCAATAGCAGGCCACATGTGACATTCCTTCACAGACCAAGGACAGGCTTAACAGAATGAAGGAAAGCACTTGTATTTTAGGATAGTCAGCTGCAATAGTAACATTCCTGTAAGATAGGTTTACAGGGGAAGTGTTCAGAGACTCCTGCATACAGAATAGGTCAGATATAGAATAATTAGAGAGAGAATCTCATGCTAGAAAAGCACCAAAATTACTCTGCCATGAAACTGCATATACTTTTGGGGTGGCAGACTAAATTTAAATTCCTTAAATACAGGGAATATTGCAGATAGAGCTAAAAATTCCCATGGTGGCTTTAACATTGATGCTGAACTTCACTTTCCTAAGTTTTAACTGTACTAAAAAGGCTATGTGATAATTTAATAGATAATTGGGTTTTGTTTTTTATCATAAATCAGGGGTGCAACTATTCCCCCTCACACTGCCCTGTACATGGTGGGTCTAAACCACTCCTCAGGAGCTGCTCATTTAGGAAAGGATGGTGACAATGGGACATTTGGTGTTCACCAAATATCCAGACCCTCTGAATTTCTTCTTACAGGTGGCACAACCCAGTATTCAGCTCAACGTCCCCAAAAACTCTACAAAACCATGAGGTCTCTAAAAATTTTAGGTTTGCAATGAACATTTTTCAGTATAGAGCCTTACAATGTTGGTAGTTTAGAGTGACAGCTTTTTATCATCAGCTCTTTGCATATATCTTTTTTTCTTGCTACACCCACAGATTGCACTGGGAGGACTGTCCCATTTTCCTCCAGCTACTGAAAGGAAGTGAAACCCAAATATAACCAGAGCTGCACAAATGCTGAATGCTAAGTCTGTGCCAGAGAGCTGACACTCTGCACTTCAAGCATAAGGTTTCTGCTCAACAGAAAACAACACTTTTAAAGCAGAATTGAATTCATTTTTAAAAAAATTTAAAAAAAAGGAGAATGTTAAAAAATATATACATTTCTCAGAAAATAAGATAAAGCTCATTTATGTCTCATAAAATACGATTAACCATAGTTAACCATTAATCCAGCTGCGCTGCATTAGAACTGCTATTCAAAGTTGGAAAGCATTTAATATTATATATTGCTGCTGCTCAGCCTAAATTGTTTTTTTTCTTGCCCCCCTTTAAATGTACACAATATTACAAATTTAATTTTAAGCTGTTTGAATCAGTCTGTAAAAAAGATTTGATTATACCTGAGTGTTCTGGCCCCAGTTTTTCCATATCTCAGTAATCTTGGCAGTAATTGGCTGATTAGCTCCCTCACACTCCATCTCTGCCTCAGTTTCCATGGTAATGTTACAGGAGCTATTATAGATGAGAACTTCATCTCTTTCCACTTTAGGGCTGAAACGAGAAGGGAGGTTAAATGGGGTGTCATCAATCTTAATGAAATGCAATTATTTTTACTCTTATTAATCATTGCAAGCCATTAGCTTGTGGCAACTCCTGGCCACCATTTGTCAAACTTTGCAAATTTCTGTAATTTTGTTTCCATTCTTTTATTGTTTATTTGTTTTTTTCCCCCCTTTATCTGCACACACTCAGGACGAAAATACATGCAGTAAATATCTCTCAGTGATGCTTTTCTGCTTTCCCAAACTATTAAAAACAGGAGCAAATGCCATTCTAGGACCAAGGCAGGGAGATAAGTGCAGACAACAGCGAGGGGATCAGCAGTGTGAGGATCAAAGATGGACTCCTACATGGAGTAGGGTTTGCTCCTGTCTCCCCCCTCCCCATCTTACTCACACTTAGCAATGGGGAATGAATAACTTGCAACTCCCCCAGGGCAAGAGGAGAAATTGGAAAAAACCACACAACTGGCTAACTGGTCCCTAATTCCAACTGTGAAAAAATGAGCTCATTTAGGGGTTCCAATTCCTGCTACCCAGCTGATTGCAGCGATGCTTTGTTGCTAACACTGGAACATTAACTTAGTAAATTAATTAAACTTACTTAACAGCCCAGACTAAGCAGATTCGATATATGTGCCAGTTACACCAGCAGACATTTGCTCCAAAGCCTCCCCTTGCAAAGGGGGAAGAAGTAATAGAAAAGGTGTGTGGGGAAAAACCATTTCTGTCCCTTGATTTTCCTGCTGAAAGTTTCAGATTTTGGTAGTGTTTCACTATGGGGAGCTGTAGGATTCAACATATGGTTTAGTGAGCATGCTGGTACTGGGTTAACAACTGATGATCTTAGAGGTCTTTTCCAACCTTAATGATTCTATGATTCAGAAGGAGGGGAAAACTTCCAGATTTACTTCTATAGGCCTTGGCTCAGGACAGGATAATCCAATGTCACTTTTCATTCCTTCCTTGGCCATTGTTGCTTCTCCCTCCTCTCCCCACCCAACCACCAGACACATACCTGCAACTTGTAGGAAGAAGGGCAGAAAGGAGGTGAGTGATAGTAACACCAGCATGAATCAGAAATTACATCACTTTCCAGAAGAGATAAGAAAGGACAGAGTTCTCTCAGGAAAGGACAATGTGATTTACAAAATAGAGGATCATAGAGACAGGACAATGATTTTTTTTGAAGGTTACAGTGTTAAATGAAGCAGCCACATCAGAAACTACAAAAATGCTACTAAAAAGAAGCCTCTGCAAGTTGCTGGACCTCTTCAACAGTTAATTTTTACGTTTTATGTTTAAATGAACTTTTCCCTCTGCTGTATCAATAATCAAAGCCCAGGCATAGGGAACTGCACTTGCCTTTGATAACAACACTTGGAGAGCTGCTCTTGTCCTGTACAGTAAATTCACTGGACTGGGTTATCTTTCAAACCTGCACAGTATTTCTTTTTATAACTAAAAGGAAAAACTGCATCTTTTAAGTTGCCAACAGTTTTAAAGGCACAAAGGGGTGGTGGTTGGCTGGATTCAGGACATGGAACCAATTTACCAGACATGAAAAGCAATACAAGGAGCTTTGAGTAGTTTTCACCTTTTTTGTTGTTGTTTTGCTTTTTAAATAAACAAGCTTTGCTTGTAAGCAAACAGAAGTTCCTTCCTGTCCTCATGTAACCACATCCTGAAACACTGATGCTGGAAAACAGTCAACAAATTGCAGTGATTAAAGGAAAAGGAATAAAAGGAATTAATTATTAAAGGGAATTCAGGAATGTACATTGACACAGGTGTTGTTAATGGCAAAACTTGCAACTCTTC